AGTAAATAATTATTATTAACTGATGATGATGATGGATTAAGCATATGAGATCGATTTGGTTCAAATAATTCTCGACATTCAGTCCATGCATCATTTTCATTGTCATCATTATCAATTGTTATAACTGGTGCACCTTAAAATAAATAAAAAAACAAATGTGAAAATATCGAAAAAAACAAACGAAAAAGATTTCGTTTACTACAAAGTAATTTCCATCGACGATCATCATCAATAATATTATTAATTTGAAGTTTTTTATTAGTGACATCCGAAAAATGTACACGAATGGGCGATGATGAAGAACAAGAAGTTATAGAAGATTTGATTTCACTCATTATATTTACTGATATTCAACACTCATACAATACATACACACAGACCAACAACTTGTGAATTATGTACAATAAATAAAAGAAAAAAAAGGTAGAAAATAAATAGCAATCCGACTGATCGTTCGTAATGAAGGCAAATGATTATATGACAATAGTCGGAAATTTACGTTAGGACTTTTGTGTTTTGTGTTAATTTTCTTAAAAAGTAAAGAACGATCTAGGCATTAATTCATTTAGGAATATATGTACACTATGGACGATAAGAGAGAGATGCAGCAGTTAAGATGATTCGTCATGTATGAATAGGGCATTTTATAAAGGTGAACGTCTGACCGAAAGAGCGAGAGAAAGAAATCATAACCACGTGATTCAAATCGATTGTTCAGAATTTCTTATTAAGGATTAGACTATTTCTATCTGAATGAACAAGTCATTATTAAATATAACTTTATCGTATTTCTACTAGGTACATGACACTCAACGTTCTTTGTCTCAATGATTAATATAGTTTTCTTCTCGTTGAGAAGTATGCCAAAATTTTAGTTGATAAAATAGTACTTGTAAAAAATATTTGTCTATAATTCAATTGCAAATGATTAAAGTAGAAATCAGAACTGAATAAAAAGAACAGATGCCTTCACGCGACATGCTTCATTAAGCATAGTAACAACAATAAGTATAAATGAACATTGATAATAATTAAATTCAATTAGAAAACCCAGTTTTAACATAATTAATTTTGCAATGAAATTTCAAATACCATCAGATAACAATTTTACTATGTATAATATCTTACACTTAGGTAATAAGTATGATCATTTGCTAATTTTCAAGAGTATATACAATAAATATCTTCATTTATATTGTGTAAAGTTAGCTTTTGCTGTTATGGTAGCAGCTGTCGTTGCAAATTGATATTGATAAATTAATTATAGATCAACATGATTAATCTTGTTCCATAGTCAATATATTTACTCTGGCTGAAATTTAATCTCAACCGAGTACATGATGACGTAATTATTAAAAGCATGTGGCTACGTCACAGCCGTTCAACTTGATAATAGTTTAACAAAAGCAGCTTACGATTTTATATTGATTATTCTCTCCGATTGAATAAGTATTAAGATTCGAACAATGATCACGAAGTAGATCTTTCTATTATGAGTAGTTTCGTATTATAACAATTTTATGTAGTTAGGTAATGTTCTATTGGTTTTACTATTGAATGCTTACTAATTGAGCTTAATTTTGTTTGAGAACATCAAGAAGTTCAATCATAGTATGATAAACTAAAAGGTTATAATATCGATCAACAAGATTTTTCAATGGAAACCGATCATTTTATATACGTTGTTTGGAAAGGATCAACTTGAGTCGATGTTGAAATTATTTTTAATGGTGAAAAATACAAAGCTATTGCTATTGCAAATCATTTATCAATAGAAAATTATCAAAAAAAAATTTTTCACAAAATGCATCTTCAACTAGGTACTAAGAGAGACAAAGAAACTCTTTTATGGATCCGAAACAAAATTACTCATAACTAGAAGAAAAATTGATGGATATCGATATCTTACTAGGAGTCATTGATTAGCCCATTGAACCAGACTAATGTTTTTGACAGATCATTTAACGCAAAGTTTAATTGCTTTTATTTCATTGAAATCGATCTAAGTTGCAATTAATAATAATCAAGACTTTCTGGTGTAACCATTTTGCGAATTTTTGTGGGATAATAGAATAGTTCAGTACATGTCTTTAGTTTAATGCACACACAATTAATGTGAACTATGTGCGTATTACACCAAAACCTCATGATAGTGTAGTTGGAGTGTCAAAGTGTTAAAAATAGACTTCTATTAATAGTAACTATATACTGTTAATAATAATTCATTTTCCTCTTCGAACATGATCAATAAAAATATTTACTGGTTTTGAGCTTCTTGTTATTGATTAATATATCAATTTTGGTATCGTTATAATATTCAATAAATAATTCATCCATAGATTATAGAACTGTTTGTAATCGATGTGATATATATATATATTTATATTTATATGCGTTGATAGTTTCAATTTTTAAGTTTCATCTTGATTTCAAGCGTTATACTCTTTTCAAAAAGTCATTTTTTAGTGCTTCGATCTAGATATGTGCATATGATGTTCTATTTTGACGATTCGATGACTAACGACATCAGAAATTATGAAGCTAGATCATACAGACATTTATCACTGATCGTCAGTTTTTCCAGGAAATATATGTGTTTGCTCGGATTCTTTACTAATAATAAGTTGCTTTTCATGTTTTTTTCAATCATGAAAAGTTTCTATATACATGATCTAGGTTAGACAAGAAAAGTTGAATTTCTTTTGAATCAATAATTATTTCGGTTGTTTATTGAAATTCTGCTTGAATAAGTCGACAGACATTTTTCCATTCTATCATACAACCATCAGACAGACCAACATTGATTAGTACACTAATTATATAGGAAATCGTTTCTTGTCTATTTTTGTACTTTTTTATTTGAATAAGCAAACAGACATGGTGGCATAAATCTCAGTCGAAGAAAAAAGAATCATCGTTGATATGGAAATAGAGGAAGCATTGTTGTGGAAGTAGATTTTCATCCTAATATGAGATCTTTCATGCTCCATTGATAAAAGAAAAAATACGAAAGGAAAAGAAGGGATTATGGATTATAAGACTTTATAAAAGACGAAGAAAAAAAAACAATAATAATCTAGACAATCATTTAAGTCGATGAATTGCAAATAAGCTTAGTTTACAAGATATCCGAAGAGCCAAATTCATAATGCTATGCTAAGCAGAGATATGTGTTTCAGCAGAAAAATAATAACTATGTTAAATTTGAAATAGAATCAAGAAGCAATATATTCACGTAATAAGAAGGATGATATTGTCGTGAGATGAAGAATTGTACCAATAGGAAGAAGCAACTACATATATCAATAGCATGAAATAAGCAGAAATTCATAGTATGGCAAGAGCCACTGTTAAACAGATTTCTGGTCGCAGAAGAAAAAAAGTAATAAGTAAGGTATGAGATTAAGAAAGTATACGATAATACTATGAATACCATTATAAAGAAATAGAAACTGAACACGATAAAGCAAATGATGAAGGTATCCGTGTGATGATACAAATTCTAGATGACATAGTTCGTGAGGTAGTTACATTGAATGAGAAGCAAGTAACAAGAAATATGCGAAAAAGTCAGTTAATAAAACAGTAAATCGAATATCACTAATTACTGATGTCATTAGACTTCATAGTCTACTCATGCATAGATTACTATGAGAGTAAGAAAGTTTAAAAAGAATTTCAACCTATTGCCTTCTAATGTCAGTATCTAATATTATACATTTTCGTTACCATCATAGGCTTATTAAATAAGGAGACAACATATTTTTATGAGCAGATAAAAAGACTAATTTCTCTTTTCATATAGCTATCCTAAAGAATCATTAGTCTAAATCATCCTAAGATTCTTTTAGTTTCATGAAAAACTCCTTATATTCAAACAATGTACAACAATTCAAACAAACTATTTGATAAAGATATAAAATTGGTTTATATTTAAAATATACTTGAATCGCTCTTATCCGATCAATAATTTACCGTTTGCAGAGATCCACGAGAAGTCAACTTTATTTCGTTTTAGGATGTGGGTATAAATGGAGAAAATACGCTCATCCACTTACACGCCTACCGCAAAGGACTAAGGAAATTGAAGAATGAAAAAAAGAAAGTCAGAGTACCTTGAAAAGCATAACCATAAAATGGGACTAATTTGATTTTCGATGAATTTATTCATTATTTGGTTTACAACGTTAGTTTCTAATGAATTGATCAATTCTTTACTTTATTCAACGTTTTTTTTGTTCTCTCTATAGCGACGTGCACAGAGTAAAACATTTTTTTTTTACTAACTCAAAAAAAGGAACGAAAAAAGAAAATAAATCGTGCCGACATGCTGTTGTTGTTTTTTTCTTCTTTTTCTTCTTATTCATGGAGTTCTATTTAAAAGAATTAATTGATACGCACAAGAAGAACAATAACAATAATGCTTGTATTTGCATCGATTTTCATGGTGAAACACTTTTATTTGATACATACAGTACCAATAAGTATACTGAAAATGAACAACGTCAAATCATTGAACGTTTCTTTTTCAAATATATCGATTTAATATCTGATTCTTCAGTATTATTTAATATAATTCTTGATCATCTCTATGCTGGAGAATATATATTTCTTTCTACGAATATAAAATCTTATTTATTTGAATCACTCGAACTTTGTCCACCAAAACAATATCTTTCATGGATATATAAAACACTTGATAATGAAGAAGAAATGTCTAAAATAAATATTCAAGCATTTACAACATATGTTGATATGAAACGAAAACGTGGTTTAACAAATGGTGAAATACGTTATACAATAATATGTGAATCATCAACAAAATTACTTGAATTAATTATAAGTAAAATCTATCGTGATCGATTAACATCAAAACAAATATGGTTAGCTGTATTTCGATTGAAACAAAATTTATCAATGACAAGTTTACAAAAAGATGTATTTAACGAATGGCTTGGCATTGTTTAATTAAAACCGAAAAACAAACAAGTATATGATGGTTATCTTAAAAATGATTCATATAAAGTCCAAGCTGTTGCAGCTACAAGTGTACGACGAAATGCTCGCAGAAAAAAACCACTTCCAAAACCAATTAAACCATATGTCTATTTAAATAAAAAAATTATTTGTAGAAGAAAAACTAATAAATAGGCAACTAATGCATACTTTAATAATAGATTTGATTGTTATACGAACATTTTGATAGTCAGTTGGAGCTACCTGTCGATATGTTTTAATAACATCAGCCGGTTGAGTAATAAATGAAGCAATTAAACCAGCTGCAATACTTATTAAAGCTTGAGATGTCATCCAACTTTTTTTTGATGGAATATCTGATTTAAATTCATTAAAAATTAATTCGAAAATTAAAAAAAGAAAAGTATCTTACTCATATCATCTGAAAATATATCTTTCAATTTACGATATGACATGTAATAAATACCAGAAAATGGAAGATCTCGTGCTAAAGTAGGCAGAAGACCGGTATAAAAACCTACAGAAATAAAATCGATTCAAAACAAATATTCGAATATAAATATATGAAGTTGAGCTATCACTAGAGCCTGTTAAATCCAAAGTTTTCAGCCTTTGATTCCATTTATTGAACGTTTTCGGGCCTAGTTGAACTGTACTTGGATAATCTCAATGAAATTTTATAATCAGAATTTGATAGTCACCCTGAAGATATCAGATACTTTTCCCTCGATTTCGCATATTCGATGACTAATATGTATCCTACAAATGTTTCACACGACTAGAGCTCGACAAATCCAAAATTTTCGGATCCAAACTCGATGGACTCAAGTTGTCATTTATTTTAAAAAGCGGTGGAAGTAAAAACTGATTGGATGCACAATCCCCATAGCTGACGCTCTGTCAAATTTATATAAGCTGTTTTCACCATGATTCTGTGAATTTGTTTTGATAGACAATCAAAAACTGCCCAATAAGATGTAGTATCGTTAAAATGATACTTGTCTCTCGAATATTTCTAATTTCTTCAATATATAATAAAAATCAAATGAAACTAACCTTGTAAACCATGCATTAAATATACATGCTTTATAATACCCGTCATACTCATTGTTGTGTATCGAGAACTCTAAAAAAATTAATGTTTTGTTGTTTTCTTTTTTTTATTTCATTGAAATAAAATCTATTTTTACTTCAAGTCTAACTTTGATTAATGTAAATGGAAAAACAACTAAATCAGCTACACCTCGAGCTAAAGCACCACATACTCCATTCACAAAAACTGTTTGTTGAGCTTTTCTAACAAACAGAAAATAAAAAAATAATTATTAATAATAAAATTTGTTTTTGTCATACGGTATTTTTTCTTTAAGTAAATTGAGCAAATGAAAATAAAGAGCACTACCAGGTACAGCACGAAATAAGGACTACGACGAAGAAAAAAATGTGAGATATTCAATCGTATTTTTCACCCTACAATATCCAACCGGTGTTAATCCACGCCATAGACGAAGTGTTGAATATTGCTGTACAGTATATTTCGTTAGTGATCCTATTGAACGTTTCGAAACTCTGAATACAAAAAAAGAAGCAACAAATTAACTTTTTATAAATAGACAATTGAAAATATAATGCTTTACCCATCTTTAGGTTCTTGTATTTGAGTTTTAAGAAAATCTAATGGTTGATATAATGTTGTTGTTACAAATGCACTTGCTGCACCAGCAATGAGCGGGTGCAAACTTGGCGGTAATATTGAACTAAATAAATCAATATTCTTTTGTTTTTTTTTTTGAAATCTTTATTAAATTAATTTTTTCCCACCTTGTATTCATTTTATCATATCTAAAAATCGACAAAAAAGATCAAATCAATTTCCAGATTTGTTTTTATTATAACATTAAAAAACAACATATTATAAAGTTAACAAAAAAACAACTTAAACATAAAGCTAATGCATTGCTCTTTTGTTATTAAGTTAGTGAAGGTCATGTAGTTATATCCACTACTTGGTTATTTTACTTCAGAAAGGTAAATTGATAATACTTTTTGTATTCTGTTCACTAGAAGATCATCGTTTTTATTAATTATTCGAATGTCTAAAAAAGATAAAATATAATTAATATGGAAAATCAGACAAAACAAAGTAGACTACTTGATTTGTTATTATCAATCGAAAATTGCTCGTTTGAGTTTTCGAAAAAATCCTTCTTGATCTTTTGGTTTTTCTTCTAGAAATAAACTAAAACTAGAATATATTTGCATTTTCATATTTATTTACCTGATTTAGTTTTTGATGAACCATTAACTGTTCCGTCCGTATCTTTTTCAAGTTCAGCGAATGATAACATCAATTCTTTTTGTTTAGCTGTTAATCGTCTATAATATATAAAAGACCATAGAAATTCTCTCTTACATAATAATACAAAAAATAATATACGTAGGAATTTTTATTTTCACATGTACATAATGATCACCAGTTCCTGTACGATGAAGACGTTTAATACCTTTACCAATAAGACGAAAATGTTGGTGAGATTGTGTACCAGGTGGAATCTAATATATAATAATTATGTCTTCTACGACAATGATCAAAACAAAATATGCTTACTTGTAAAACGTGATCCTCATAAATTCCTGGAACTTTAACTGTTCCACCAAGTGTTGCTTGAGTAATAGATATATCAATATCACTATGAATATCTTCTCCATCTCTTCGAAATTTTTCACTCGGTTTAACACGAAATGTAACAAATATTTCAGATACACCAAGATTAACTCTCATTACTTGTCCATCTTCCACACCTTAAGAAAAAAAAAACATTTTTGAAGAATTATATTTCAAATAAAAAATTTACCAGGTGGAATTGGTATTGTTGTAAATTTTTTTTGTATAGTTTTTCCTTTTCCTGAACATTCATAACATGGTTTTGCAATTGTTTCACGTCGACCATGGCATGTTCGACAAGTAGCACGTAAAAAAAATGGACCTGTTTCAATGGTTTCCATTCCTGTACCATTACATGTTCGACATGGTTGTGGTTGTGTACCAACTGCACAACGAGTACCTTTACATGTTGGACATACATCAACAATTCGTATGTTAACATCTTTATTACAACCATGAACTGCTTCTTGAAATGTTAAATCAAGAGCTAACTACAAAACATTTTTATTTTAGTATGTTAAAAATAATAAATTAATTGAAAAGGAAATGTAAAATTCTTACTTGAGTTATACCTTGTCTACCAAATTGATTTTCATCAGGTTCATCCATCCATTCATGATTACCAAAACCAGCTCGACTAAATGCATCACCAAAGATTTTTCGAAATAATTCTTCAGGATCAACTTGAGCTTGATAATATTCATAACCACGAAAACCACCTTGACTTGCACCACTTGGACGAGGACCTGAACTACTACCAGGATAGGATTCTTGACCAGAACTAAATGGATCACCACCCATACCATATGCATCATAAGTCTTTCGTTTTGTTTCATCACTTAAGACTTCATAAGCCTCTGAAACTTCTTGAAATTTTTTTGTATTTGCAACATCTTTCTTATCGGTCGTGTCTGGATGATACTGTTTCGCTAGCTAAATAAACACCAACTCATACCTTTACCATGAGTTAATAGAAAGATTACGAACTTTGTAATAAGCTTTTTTGATTTCTTTAGCTGTGGCTGTTTTAGGTACACCTAAAACTTCATAATAATCTTTTTTATCTCGTTTACTTGATGTATGAAATGAACGTGTATGCAAGTTTGAGAAAACTAGAGCAAAAACACTTATTGACCAGTAATAGAGAAATGTAAAAATGATATACCTGTAGGGAATTTTGAGGTTGCTATATTCGAAGAATGATGAAAACTACTTTGAATTGTATAATTAAACCTACTACCAAGTGATGATAGCCATGGTTTTAATACTAAATTTGATAGAGAACATCTCGTAAAATATTTAGCAATTAGTGGAGATAAACGAATCGCATAATTTGAGGACACAAACATCCGAACGATGATCAAGAATAGAGTAATAAACTAAATAATCTATCGATTGATCATCAATTCATATATGCATACAACATATTACATCGTATCTTCATCATTGGAAGAACAATTTCACCAATCCTCAAAAACTATATTTCTTTCAAATGTACAGAATCTAACGTCATCTTTCATTTTACAGCACATTACTAATTACTATGTTTAAGGAAGGAAGGAATAAATGAAGCATAGAAACATTTAGTATTAATTTAGTCGATGATTCTTAAATGCACACGTTGCAATTGAAAATATTCTAATAACTGATTTCATAGTCTTTAGTTATGATATACGATTGTCTTTAGATTGACAATAATGAAAAGATGGATATATTCAAATGATAAAGTAATGAATGTGTGTATCGAGAAGTATTCAAATTGACTCAGCTCTAATCAAGTTAACTTATCATAACAGACAATCTCTACAATGGTTTTTTTTTATGCATACAATTGGAAATCTTTCTAAATCACACGAGAAGAATGAGGAAAACTACATATAATTAGTATGAATGAGAATGAGAAAAGCCAAGACCATCAATGTGGGTGTCGATGAGGAAAATACCAGAGCCAGAATCGAACCGACTTCTATTGGTTCGAGTTCGGTTCGGTTTGTCTTCATTTTCTAAAACTTGGTTCGGGTTCGGTTCGGTTCGAATTCGTTTTTGGGGGACAAGTTCGGGTTCGGTTCGTCTTTTTTTTCTAAAAGTTGGTTCGGTTCGGCTTTGTCTTCTAAAAGACGGTTCGGGTTCGGTTTGATTCGATCTAACCCAGATTTCTTCTAATGTCTACAAGAAAAGCTTCTAAATTCCATTGCATTGAGGGTCTCACAATTGTGTCGTAAAATAACTTGTCCAATGTATAAACCGTAATTCTCCTGAACTGCAAGAAGTATTTCAGTATTTATGTAGTTTTTCTTAAATTAATTCTTTTATTTTTTATTCACATAAGAATACCATGGAAAGTTGAATAAAAAAAAACAAAAGAATACGACAAAAGAACACAGAAAATAGATACTTATATAAATAAAATTATATATGTCTTTTATTATTTTCCATTGAGCGTATATGAGTCCATTCTTTTCTTAGATTCGCCACTAGTGCAAATTATAACATAATTAGTAATAATACTTTCACTAATTTCTTCATATACTATTAGGTTATATACATGACAATGCTTATTAATTTTTATATTAGTTTCTGAAAATAGACGTATAAATCAAAATCATAAACATTGATAAAAAACAATTTACTCTCTTATACACAATCACTAGCTTATTTATACATAATTAATGTAAACATTCTCGTCTTCTATTTATCATTAATTTTATGATTACGTTAAATCATAATTAATAATTTGTAGTTCAAAAAAAAAAGAGAAGAAAAGAACGATTATCATCGATGTTATTACCTTTGAAAATTGGTTTAGTTGATGTTGTGAGAGTTAATCCACCCTACCACCAACGTCGATCCTCTTCGCATTAACTCCACTAACATTTTCTTTTATGATCAAACAACCAAGATAATATGGTCAACATACACTTGTCACTACTTTCAATGTTTCCATCTAGTTACCGGATATCAACAACATATTACATGAATTTGATACTAATAACTTCTCTTATTTCTCTATATACACTTAATCTAATCTTTCACTGTCATCCCTGATGATGCGTTCAGACTAGAGCACAAAAGCTCGAATATTATTGTTATTTCTGTTTGAAATAAAAAAATGTTATTTACAGTAGGTATCTTTTTATTTTTTTTACACTGTTGTCAATTAGACGAGCATTCGTCCGTCCTTTGCATCATGAAACCATAGAACAAATAGGAGAAATAAATAAATAATAAATGTCTAGTGCGTATAAGTCAGAGATGTCCATCGCGGTTGAAAACTGACCGCTGCCGCACCGCGACCATAAAAGAAAAAAGCTAACGCGCCGCTACCGCACCGCGGTGATAAAAAAAGAAAACCCACCGCACCGCTGCCGCGACGCCAGCAAAAACAACCATGCCGCGATGATTGTTAGAATAATGTTGTGAATTTTACGATCTGTGACTGTTCAGGACTTGAGCTGTTGTTACCAATCGATAAGATTCATTGAATCTCATAGTTTTGCAATTGCAAACATTGAAATTCTGTTCGAATTCATGCATTTTTGCATTGTTCTCCAAAAAAACCTACTGCTACCGCGCCGCTGCCGCGATGGTTATTTGAAAAAAACAACCGCTACCGCGCCGCCACCGCCACAGCGGCAGCGGTCACGCCGCGATGGACATCTCTGGTATAAGTGACCAATCGTCATTAATAAATTGTCTGTAATTGTTACGAAGAGAACAAAACGATGTACGGAAAATAAATTAGCTATATAGAATAATCGGTCAAAGGTCGCTCAATCATTGTTAACAACATATTTTTCAAGAAATAAATGATGGCTCAACCAATACTAGTTCGGTTCGGTTCGACTGCGTTTTTAATAAAGCGGTTCGAGTTCGGTTCCGATTGACTCGAACCGAACCACCCTAGTTCGGTTCGAGTTCAGTTCGTTTTCGGGCTCTGGAAAATACCGTTGATACAACATTTGTTCGATTTGTAATACTACTTACGAGAAAAAAGAACAGATACACGTCCATAAAATATATATATATCCTTAGTTATTCCATTTAGGCAAATCATCAATTTCTTCATATTGATCGTAGAAATGTGAAATCGTGTTAATACTCTGTTGATATTTATGGGTTAAGATCGAAAGACGACAACACTGAAAAGTCGTAATTGGAGATCCTGGTTTGTCAACCGAGATTACATCAATTGAATAGAATCTGATCGCTCGTTTACTACTTTCACTGGTTCAATCTGTTTAAACTTTGTAGGTTATTTTATTTATCTTTCAATCACTGGATGTGTTTCATTAATTCATCCAAACTACAACCCTACATTGGATTGTGAAACTCAACTTTAATGAACTCAGAGTCCTGAAAAATAGTCTTCAGAGTAGAGGTGATCTTGAAGAAGTTTTTTTCAAAGCCAATGTCACAGTTGCATCAGTCAAGTATTTTTCTTCTTACCTAGTAACAAGTTTATTCTTTATATGTTAAGTAAAGAGCAAAAACCCACTAACTTATAGACTCACAAATAGGTTTCAAGAACAAACAAGTATCAGAGAGATATTCTCATTAATAAGAAGCATGAAAAGAAGTCAATATGCTATTCATCGTAGTATTTGAAAAATAAATAATCTTTACTATTTTATAAAAGTAAAGTAACCATGAAATCGTTACTAACAAGTTATATTCGACAAGCTTAATTTATTTTTTATGTCTATGATCTCATTTAGAAAACTGGTAACAAATACAAATTATACGTTGTAATGAATCAGCATTTTGCTCTCGTTATGCAATTGTAAAAAACTAATTAGTAATGGTGGAAAAGGAAGAAAAAATAAATGCGGAAACTTCGGATTTAAATCCGAAAGTTATGTGTACTTCAAAAAGTGAATCATACGAATCAGTCATCCTAGAATATCTCAACATCAAAATTATACTGGGGAACCTACCATTTAAAATGTTGATTTCTATTGCGCGTTGCCAAACCAATAGGACATGGGACCGAATACAGCTCAAGTTTGAACTCTTTTCCTTGATTTACCCTAACAAAGGCGTTTTTCCTATAACTTGATTTCCATTGGTCACTGCACAACCAATAGTATTTCGATGGAAGTGCAGTACACATTCGAGTTCTCCATCTCTGAAAACCTCGAAGTATCATCAATGTGATCAGAAGATACAGCTCTGTTTATGGATCAATTAGATCGTGGACCAAAATATAACCTAGTTCTCTTTAATTATCCTTGTGATAGATGAGTCAGTCTTCTTGCTTCTTTCTGTTTTATATATCATTTTGTAGCTCTTGAAATTCTCTATCGAATGGTATATAATAGTTGGGATTTTAATTGACTATGATAGGAAAAGTCTTTTACGAAAGTCCCGATGGGTCCATTTTTCCACAGAAGGCTATAGGGAAAAGTAGGTATTTTTTCAATAACTCAGGAATGGCTCGGCCGGTTCTTCTCATCTACGAACTCGACCGAGATATTGTCAAGACTAAGCTGTGTAGAAAGTTTCATCGCAATCTGACTCTGCTGTCAAAAGTTATCATGTAAACAGCCAACCGGACAGACGAACGCACTGACTATTCTATATAGTGTACTCACTTTTTGAGTACACAAAACTATGATTCGGTTCAAAACTAATATCAGACTCAGAATCAGCGTTCAAAACTGAGTCGATTTATGTATTTTGTGAATAATTATGAGCAAAAAATTTTGTTTTCGAAAAATCCCCGTACTCCCCCTCAGGGATGGTCTGGTCAAAAATCACAATTTTTTCGATAACTCAGCCATTTCTTGACGGATCCTTCTCATCTTCGAACTCGACCGAGATATTGTAAAGACTGAACTGTGTAGAAAATTTCATCGTGATCGGACTCTCCTTTCGAAAGTTATCGTGTTAACGGCCGGACGGCCGGCCGGCCGGCCGGACATACGGACCGATTCTAGTAGTGTACTCACTTTTTGAGTACACTAAAAACAGTCCGGAGTACTCTGACTTATAGAAATGAAAAATGCAAGTGACAAACAGTATTTTTCCGCTTGATTGCATACATTTGTCATAGTTACTAAAGTAAGTATCACGTCACTCTACTTATTTATTCAACGGATATTAGCACTTGATTTTTAATCATGTTCGACGTACTACCTGTATCTAAAGAATCTATACTTCTTGAACTTATATACGAAGTAATCACATGCTTCAACAAAAAATTATTTTGATATTTTTGATAACATCGATAGGCTTTGTGTTAAGATTAATACTAAATGTCATAATTATTGTCACGAACATTTTCATATATCTCAACAAAGGCATCTATGTCTTCTCTAATAAGCATTTTGTAAAAGATTAAATGATGATA